AGCAGGCACATGAAAATCCACACAGGACTGAAAAAAGGCCGCAGCAAGGTTAGCGACATGGTCAGCAGTGGCATTCATGTGAGGTCAAGACCTGGCGGGAGCTTACATCCAGACACTTCCTTACAACCAGGAAGTGATGTTAAAGCCCCAGAACCTGAGACTGAAGCAAACCACGAAACTTTGAAGGAACCCGGAGAATCTCTGCCCCATTTAAACTCTCTGAGGAGTGACGCTGTCTCTCTGAGTGAGATAAGAAGTACTGATAAGGAGGCATTTAGCTGCTCTGAGTGTGGACGGACATTCTGCCGTAGAGACCACCTGATCAGCCACATGAGAACGCACACTGGAGAGAAACCATTCAGCTGCTCAGTCTGTGAGAAACGTTTCAGCTGTAGCGGGAACATCTTGGCACACATGAGAATCCACACAGGAGAGAAACCGTTTGAATGTTTGTTCTGCGGGAAGAGTTTTAGCCAGAAAGGAACACTGCAGCTTCACGTAAGAATTCACACAGGAGAGAAACCCTTCACCTGCCCTTTTTGTGATAAAAGATTTGCGCACAAAAGACGCATGACGCTGCACATGTCTGTCCACACAGAGGAGAAACGGTTCAGCTGCAGCGCTTGTGACAAAAGGTTCACCTGGTATACGCAGCTCAAAACGCACAGGTGTGTCGGCGAGCCATCACAGCTCCGCCAGAACCAAAGTGAGAAGACAGTTCCTCCGAAGAAGTCCTTCAGCTGCACTGAGTGCGGTAAAATGTTCAGCCTCAAGGGCAATTTGAAGACACACATGAGAATTCACACAGGAGAGAAACCATTTGGTTGTTCAGTTTGTGGAAAGAGTTTTAAACAAAACGTGCATCTGACTGAACACATGACAATTCACACAGGGGAGAAACTCTATAAGTGCAGCATCTGCGGTAAAGGATTCAATAAGAAGTTACTTATTAAAAACCACACCTGTGTTTAAGCTTGGACGCTTTATCAGCTCTGATCACATCCACAGATTTATATTCATAAGTCACTTAATATTAAAGCTGTAGTGATTCATAGTATGTTTCTGAGTGTTGCATACATTTTTGTCATTTATATTGAAAATATAGAGCATTGAGCCTAAATCTTCCTGCATAAGGTTTAAGTGCTGCATCCTGACAGCAACAAAAAGACTCTGGGATGTGCAATACAGTGGAACCCCGACTTACGAATATCCCATTTAACGAAAAATTCAAGTTACGAAGGCACTTAACGGCAATAT